AATTTGCATAATCAATGAGGGAATTGCATTATAGTACCAAACTGGCAAATGACAGGAACTTGACATTTGCATTATTTGGAAGTTAATTAACCACAGCCATATCACATAAAAGATTCATTAACGGATAAATACCACTAAATGATTAAATAAAAACTGTTGCCATAAGAGCATTATAGCTATATCTGCAAAAACATAAGGGAAAATTAGCAAAGTTTCTGTAAAAAAATGTAACATCTAACTTGGTGCAACAGCTACAGATTCAGCACCAAGGAGAACCACAGTCCTTTAACAACTGTTTTAGGCAGTTTTGCATAACTTTTAACCCACTTTAAGATGTAATACCATATACAAACATGTGTATATACACATATGTTATAACACATATACAAGTACAAGTTGCATAACATCAGACTCATAGTGAAATAAAGACTAAGCTTTAACTTCCAACACTTAGATAGAGAATTGGGACTTACCCCAAATTTTTGGTGGACTCCATCAACCTTGTTCACGGAATGGACCCGTCTACTCTTGGAACGTGACGTCAGAGACACGTGACCGTAGTAGCGGGTCATACGTGCCAGATAACTTGTGTCTCCCCCGTGTCTGTTCAGGGTAGGTCTAAGGGCTCTTATGTAGACCGCCTCCTTAACTCCTCTTGCAAAGAAGTCCGATTCAGAATCAAGGATTTTAACCCCTTCTAGAGATACTGAATGTCCTGGAGACTCAATGTGAATATGTTGTGAGACTTCTGAGTTTACAGAACTAGGACATTGATGTTCCAGGAATCTCGTTTTTAATGCACATTCTCAGACTCATAGGTTTGATCCACTCAAACCACAAAGACCTACAGTCTTTTCCACAGATTTAGTGTGGTGGGTTCTCAAACATGCTCGAGGCGTGGCTGTCCTTAAACACGGGATATCCATCTTACACCTGAGAGGCTATCCCTAACCAATGCTAGGCACTCATTTTCACTTGAGTCGAGTGTGGAAATTGGTGTAAAGTGCCTTTCCCAAGGGCACAACACTGGGGCCTGCTAGGGATTTCAAGCGAAGCCAACAACCCTTAAACCAACAACCCTTAAACCACCATGCCACCCAAGTCCCTGAACAGAGTAATTTGAAACACAGAATTATATACTTACATGTAAACGTACATACACAGTTACACACAGAAAGTGTTAAGTAATAACTAGGAGATAATATCAACTTCACTTCTAATTTAAGCCTGTCTCTCCAACTTTTCCTCATAAAACCTGAGATCTGACGAGAGTAACTCGACATTTAATGTGGCATAGGAATTACATGTTGGACAGGACATGAGCAATATTCAGAAATACATTTGTGGCTCTATAAATATTCATGTTCCATTAGAAGGCACTGAAGCATGAAAACAGGAGGAATAATAGGAATGAACTGAAGCAAAATCAATTCTTTCCAAATGTGCACACTTCAGACGTGTGTGAGGCTTTAATGTGAATGGTATTATCCAGTTGGTAAATCAATGGATATATGGTTTTCCATACAAAACTTGAGCTGCCAACATTTTGGTAGTAACTTAAAGTCTAAAATGACTCTACTCATTCAAAACCGCATCATTCTAATTTGTATATTCTGTAAGTATAATATACTCCAAAGTTTTTATTGTACAAGATTGTCAAAATTGTAAATGTTGGTATAATACAGTTTTTCCTGCAGAGCCAATTTGTCTGGTATGCTTCCTTGAATAATCCAACCATCACTGAGTACTACTACTGACCCATCTGCTATCTTCCTGAAGACTATAATAAGACTTCAGCCACTCTCTACATGCTTGAGACCACACTCTTGATGACTACTCTATCTCCAGATATTAATGTTCTGTAGCAAACTGAGTATCAAAATCAGTGGCAGGTAACTGTTCTCTAGCTGTGGATAAAAATCTACCCGGGAGAACAATTTTGATGCTGTTTACAGGTCACATCATAGTGATGAGGTGCCTAATTTTGTCAATGTTATCATTCCAACAAAACAACAGGGTGACCGTTTATACATAATGTAGTATGTGGCTATGTAAAAGGTAAGAAACCAAGGATTATTTCTTTTACAACCAAAGTGGCAAAGGTACCAGGCCATATATTCCACTATAATTCATGTATTGGCATGAAGCAGACAGAAATTGTGGCTTGCAATTTAATCAGGTATACAGATAAGACCGTCAAAAATTTGAAGTTGGAAGTTACAGTCACTGTAACAACCAGTCTTAAGGGTACATATCACTGCCAAGAGAAATGATGAATAGAATGCAAAATTGCTGCTCAGGTTCAACGACCACAGATTCAAAATATTTTGCAATCCAAAAATTTACATTCCTGGCAAAATTGCTTCAGTGCAGAGGGGCGTAATAAACTGTTTACAGCATCCATTCCTGCAGGCACATTTTTGTGTGATGATTCATATACATGCCATGGATAATTTCTGTACATAGGTTTTGCAAAAACTGATTCCTGACCCCAATTTCCTGGTGAGCAATGTTTTTTCCTGTTGAGGTGCAAATCTGGAGCTTAACGATGGGTTTCATTTCAATACTGTATATATTCCCATTAATAAACTGCTTATCAATGTCCAGTAGGGTTCATATGTATGAGACTGACTTGATTAAAAAAAACAATTTCCAGTATGAAACCTCAGATTCAGCTTCATCCTTTGGATATCTCTCATTACAGATTTTATGATTCTCAAACTTAAACATATTTAGCCAGATTTCTTTTTTCTTTACATTTCTGACAGTTTGAAGTGTCAAAATTGCAATTTTGCACACATTAAACCCAAAATCTAATCCCACTACATTATCAAACACTAAGCAACCAATCAGCCCATTGAAAATCAAGGGGCCATGATCCTATTCACTTCTTAAGGAATGATCATCCATCAATAGATTAAAGATTAATGCATCATAAATACCTGAATGGGGTCCATGTGATGGATTGTGTCTCATGGGGATGTCGTCTATGAAATTAACTTTGTGTGGCCTAATATAACACATCAATTTCTGACAGAAACACTGCATAATAATTGTTACTTAGGAACACAACTAACGATATGCTACATTACACAGTGTCTAAAAAGTGCTGTAACAGTGAGCTACGTGTATACTTTACCAGATGAACAGTGGAATATACATTTACACTGCTCAAAATACAATCTGCATTAAAAAAAATATGCAGATAATTTCACATCAAGTTTGAGATGTGCAGGTATTTCTGATGTTTATCTGCAAGTGAGTTTCTTTAAAAAAAAACATCAAGACATCTAAAATTGTGTAGCAGCTACAGATTCAGTACCAAGGAGAACAACAGTCCTTTGATAACTAGATTTGTAGGCAGTTTTGCATAACTTTTAGCCAAGTAACACATCAGTTCAAAGTGCTGAAGTACAAGTTGCATAAGATCAGCAGATTCCTAGGTTTTTATCCACTAATTTATAAATGACCTGTAGTCTTTTAAGTCGATGTACTGGGTGGGTATGCCTACAAAAGTGTATGTGAATTTTTGTTGCTGCTGTCCTGACTGTTACCACCTGTAAAATGCCAAAGAAAAATTTTAGAATGGTTTGTCGAATTTTGTGATTCATACATTCGTACTATCACCCTTGTGACCTATCACTACCTGATAACAAGGACAGTCATGTGACGGTCATGAGACAACATTCTATATCAGGACAGGGCGTGGCAGTGGCCTACATGTGGTAATGACAGGGTTTTATGACATCCAGTCTGCAAATACACAAACTTCAACCAACCCGTTTCAATGCGGGTTTCTGAACTTCTTGGTAACAGTGCGGCAACAATCGTCGTAGGTCAAAGTACCACTTTGATGTCGTAGGATTTTCAAGCAGGCTGTGACAGAACCAACTGCGGACAAGGATCTGAGACAGATGTTTCTGTGATAAGACAGGTACTAGTAATAGCAAACTGGCATGTTCATTACTCATGCTCTTCTTCTCCCTAAACTCTAAAGCTTACACATCTTTGATCAGAATGCACTTTCTTCATTTTTCTAATTTATATCTAATCAAAGATACATTGCTAATTGTATGTATCCTATAGATAAAAAATCACTATCATAACTACAGTAACTGTTACAATCAAAGACGGTACATAAAAACTGTCAGTGAGTTTCATCCTCAACCAAACGACAACAACACTGTGACGGGTATAAATATTCATAACTGAAGAACATTAGACAGCCACAGCTCTCTGTATGTCTGCGATTATCTTTTTGTTTTTAACTGTGCATGCAAATCCTGGCTTTGTACTACAACTGTGAATCTTTAAAGACACTTCTCAAGCCAGCTCAAAGGGTAACAGTCGACCCGCCGCCTACGCATGTCTCTTTCATGGTGCTATTGGGGCAATGAAATATTGGCTGTACTAACCGGCCAAATTCAGCCTTTGAGAGAAAACCGACACAATGAACCCAATCTACACGTAATAGTACAGCCAAATACCAGCTATAATAATAAATTTTACAAGAGGCAGAGATCCGGAGGGCTCTCCAGATGTGACATTTATAGGTAATTATCCAGGGAATAGAGCACATAAATCAGGTGTGGCCAACTATCCAGCTGTTACAAAGGGATTTCAGCTCCTGAATTGGCCAGCAAATACCAGACTGTAGGCCACAACAATTTAATTGGTTGGTTCTCTCACAATTCTCTTTGTAACATTTGAGCAAGGAACAATGTGAAACAGATTAGGATTGGGAGAAAACATGCATCAGATCCTTTTCACTGAAACTGTGTACACCAAGATACAGGCTTTGTTTTCATGTTGATATTTCAAGCTAGCATCCCCTTAATTTTGTAAAATCCAAGGAAATAACTTGGTGAGGCCTAAACAAAGCATATTTTCTTAGAAAATGTTTAAATTAAACAGAATAATTGTCTGGTTACTACATGTATATTAAGTTCCTGTGGGACATTAGTGTAGAGAACTGGGATCCACAGCTGAGATGGTACAGATTAAGTGTGGAGTTGCTCGTTGACACTGCACATCAGGATAGAACAGCCCCATTTGCACTGACTTGCTGATTTATGAGAACTTGCCAAATGGCCCCGTAACACTTGAAGGGTGAGTATCGTTACAATCTATACTTCCTGTGTTTTTGTTCCAGTGCCCACCAGCTGTCAGCTCTAGGGCTTAGAATGTCCACATTAGGTGTAGAAATAATATACGTGTGCTAACAAAAGGGATTAGAAATGTTCCTGTTAGAAGCATAGCCACAAGCTTGATATATTGTCAACAATGTTGTATTGTATTATGTACGTATCTGAAAGAGTGTCATGTGAGCATTACACTGTTACTATATACATGTACAATTTGGGGTGCCAAACATGGGAGGGGCTGCATCCGGTCCATCTTCCTCCCATCCTTGACAGGCTATTTATCTGTCAGTTATTTATGTCTCTAGATTTGATGGATTGATTTCCTAACAGAGGGATCAAGTGATGGCTGCAGTTAGCATTTTTCTACACTATATAATAATAATCACACATATTGTGGCACAGTATGTGTGAACACCGTCCAGCAATAACGAGCACTGTAACATACATTGTGGGTAATAGCAGGAGATCTTGGGGCTTGTTATGAGCTAAAAGCTTCCCTTGAGATAGCTGAATCTGTCATCATGGCATACCGTCAAATCAGCTGGAGGTCCTGGCATAGAGTAGTCTCAAGAGAATACCTGCCAACAACCACAGTCATTTTTGTCTAACGTATACAGAATTATTGGGCTATAAAAAGTATAAAGTTACATTATCTTCTTTGTCATTGTCAATAAGGCAAATTGATAGAGGTTCGTCCACTGAGCTCAATCTAAGTCATTCACATGTTTTTATTTTGCTATTACTGCCTTCTTGGACAGAGATTATAGCCATGAATATTGTTTCCTGAATTCCTGTAGTGACATCTTATTTATTTTTAGGAAGGTACGACGTTACTTAATATACATTACAGAGATGCTGAAAATTAAGTACTATGATGATAAGAAAGTGATGCTGAGTATTCTGCAGCACAATGCTGTTATTGATGGAATACATGTATCTGGGAATCATATACTTCCTTTAGGAATCTAAAGTATGAAATTTAGTGAAGAGTGTGTGATATTCCTCTAGATTACACAAAAATTGAAATATAGTTGCAGGGAAACTGTGGACCTAGTCTGGGCAAGCAGCCTGCATCTGTAATAGTAGGAAATAAAAATATTGACACTATGATCTGATGGTGACAATCACGCCTTCTTTACTACATGTAGTACTGTGGCTCTAAGCCTTGTTTTGCTTGTAATTTTTGTACCGCATGCAGCTTACAGCTAGTACTTTTCTTAATCAACATGCCTGATCTAATAATCATAGAGTTATTTGAGTCTAGTAACCCTCCTTTCACTACCCTCTTTAATTTTCTGATAATTAAATTGTGACCAAGGTCCCATGGATACTTTCCAAACAATTGCCGTCCCAGTATCCACAGGACGGTATGAGACAGGAAGCCTTCCATAAACACTCAGATGTAAGAGGAATGGTGACAAGAGCCGCAGTAGGTTTAACCGGCTTTCAACTGGGTCAGTCATGGAATAAATTCTGCAGTCAGCACGGCAGCAGTGAGACCAGAATACTTGGCACACGGGTATTCAAGTCTGGCTTCTGCTGGGCAAAGTTAATGGGAATCTTTGTGTCCATCAATCATCATACAGTAATGTTGCAGGAGTGGAAAGCTCCTCAACTCCATGGATAATGTTCCAATCCCCTAGGCTGTGTTGGGCATTGTTGCCAAACACGTATCTACCCAGATATATCTGATTTAATTGGATTCCTAGCTCCTCCCCCATGCCTTGTGGACAATGACAGATGGTTAAGATGGTCTTGAAATTAATATACAAGAGTGACACCATCATGCTGGGGGAATATCAGTCAAAGCAGTTATCATCAAGAGTCAGGACCTTCTGATCACTCGTTCCTATCTACATCTCCTGCTGATATTATAACAAATACTGGGACATTTCACCAAAATCTACAAAGAAAAGTTACGGACCTTAATTTCTTTTTGTTATACCATGTATGTGTTAGCATAATTGCATATACTTGTCTATTGATTTATTACATAATAATACATGTTTTTGGATTTATCAGGACTTCACTCGTGTAACCTGTATCTTGCTATTTTTTGTCTGACCTCCTCTTTAATGACAGTCACTACAACCCGACCAGCAGGCTGATTTTATCATTTCATCATGATAGTCACTAAACAAAGTCAACAAACGAAAACAGAAACAAAGACTTTTTACTACAGACCTACCCCAGCTTGTGCCTGAAGCACATGATCAGATGCCAGTATGTAGGTACTGCTGGCTGAAATGTATGTCATTCATCATGAAATGCTCAGACAGTCTAATAGATTTTAAGTTTATACTGTGCCTGGGGATAAGACTTAGATAACCAAAATTTATTGACTGACTGTATAAAAGTGACATGTGTAAGCCATCATCAATCATTCTTTATATTGCATATTAATTTTGTAATACATTCTATGAACTGCCAAGAGAACTTTCCATGTACATTTAATTTACTGTTACCAGTGTTTTGTAAACACTTTATATACTTCAATCCAAAATCCTGCCAACGACTTGAGAATAAAGAATTCCCAATACCAAATTCAAAGACCCATTTTTGCATCTATCATAATTGAATGTTGAATATAGAGATGTCCATTAGATTTTAGGCATTGTTTCCAACAATAACATCTATATGCAGTTCACAAATAAGCTTCCAGCTGGGCTCCAAACCCGTATCACTTCTTCTTGGACCTTAATCCTTCCTCTGCCACCCCAAAGTCATGACCATATATCAGGATTGCCAGAACAAAAGATACAAAAACCATAGCATAAGAAGTTGCTAGGGGTCAATAATCAATCTTGTCCTACATTTTGCAGGTACTGAACCATATCTTAACATTCAAATCTTCTCACTGACTAAGAAAATAATGCACCTTCTCTATCATGGTAGTACTAGATATAGGGAGTAAAATATTAAATACCTGTGATGCGTTCCATACATGATTTCAAGTCGAGCCTGCAGAACATGGAAAATGGAGAGACAGTTAATTGCTAGTTTATTCCCAGCTCAACGCTAGTACATAGAACTGCTATCATAAGTGATCAATGAAGTTGTTCCCCCTAGGTTGGTACGGCCTTGCTGTGAAAGTTATTTGTCTCCGTGCATGGTACCCAGCGGCATTGGGCCTGGGTCAGCTCCATACGGAATTGCAGCCCAACGGATTACCAAGCAGGTTGTTTATTGAGCTGGGTGTCTGTTTGGAGTGTTCGTCTAAGACTTGCACACATGTACAATGTATATTGATATCTATTCATTGACAAGTCTTTCCTTTCAGTAGGGTTTAATTACCTTGTATACGGAGGGGGTTTTGTTTGGTGTTTTTTGTGAGTTTGCTTGTAGTGCACATGCGAGGCATGTTGGAGCAAGGAGGCTTAAACCTCCTTGGTTGGCGGCACTGATAGTAAATTAGATCAAAGGTCCTATGAAGATCTCAGAAAAGACTATCTCATTTCGTATCTTAGATTCCCTGCTATATGCATGTCTGTAGAAAATTAGACAGAATCAGCATGAATAAAAGAAAAAAATTCATAAAACATTTAAATAGAAGTAAGTATTTCACAGAGGTCTTATTATCTTGTTTCTAGTGTACCAAGTAGATCTTGGGGTGAATGGACAACAATGGCTCTCAACCAACTCCCAAACCTCTCACTGGAGTGCAGGAGGCTGACAGCACTACAATTGTACCCCTCTCATGCCAAGCCCTCTCAAGCAATGGCCCTGGCATATCAGACTGCCAAATAGATATTCTCCCTCCTGTATGGAGGGAAAGTCGTGGTAACCGACCAATCACATTGCCACTTGACTGTATGCAACAATCTGGTTGGCTGAAAACTTTCCTCTCAACAACAAGAAGCAGTCTGAGTATCCAATGAAGGCAGCAGGAAGGACAGATTGCAGGCTGGTATGTGCCAGGGTCGTTGCTACTAGTAGAGATACACAAGTGGCTGGCCTGGCATGAGGTTATGGGATGACTCAGACATGACTTTGCATTTTGTCAGGACTACAAGGTAATGACTTTCTAGCCATAGACCAAATTAGGAGGGATCCTGTGATGGATGAAAGGTTTAGCTGAGATTCCCCTCATGTTTTCAGTGTCCTGATGAGTATCATCTATCATGACCAGGAAAGTGATAGGGTACCTGAGCTCTAATCTCCCTCTCACAACTCTGCCATCTAGTAACAAGTGATGATGCTACCTTTTAACAGCTACTCTTCACGTGAGTAACCGAGCATGCAGGAGAAGGATGTGTTACATGACGTCAAGACCCGAGCCTAATGCTCATCCATCAACTCATCCACCCTTGGATTGCAAACTCTCTAGAGTTCTAAGCCTGATTAATGGCTCCATATTTGGGGAAATATCATGCAGCTTTATCTCCACCTTACATCTCAGGTCGTGACTGGTTGGAATCGAAGTGATTTTGTAGCGAGAGGAAAGAGTTCATTTCTCACACTGCTGACAGAAAGACTCTTGAAAGCTTGCATGTAAAGTGTGTCTAAAATATATACATATATATGGTTGTGAATTACTGTGTGATATTTCAAATATAATGAGAGAAGGGAGGTGAAGAGTGGGAAAATTACATATAAATCCTAGCCTGACCTGACATGTTGCATCTTGCATTTATGTCATACTAAACCAATGCTAAATGTCATACTATTTCAATGCTATTGTAATGTGACAGAAGTTAAAAAATTCGCTCTCACCAATAACTATTCAAATGTCTGAATCTGTTACACTGTATACAAATATTTAAAAGCAGCGCACACAAAGTGTGTTCCAATTATTCAGCTCAATTATTCTTTCAAAGCCAGATTGTGATAACCCAAAATACCTCCAGGTATAGAATACCTGTATCAAACATTATCATGGCCCAGGTGTGACAGAAATAGCACTTATCTACTCTCAGCTCTTTGTACTTGAACTACATGACACTGTTCAGTACTTGAGAAACAGGTTCTGACTGGGAAATGGATGAAATGAGTGGTCTGGCCATGGCACAGGACCTGTTTAAAGATTACTGGATCAGCATATGGCTCTGTAACATGTGTCTTTATCATAAGAGGTAGATATCAGTAGCAGTCAGGCTTGAAGGACACAGGAAGTACATGAGGAAAATTTCCAGCCCCTCAGTAATAGATCTTTTACAGTTATCTAAAGAGAGCCACGGAAAACACTTAAAACCATGCAGAAGTGATGGTGCAAGAAATACTATTATGTGCACCATTTGGTTTGCATCAATGACATTTTCCTGTATCTGTAATTCATGTCGTCTGACTCCTACCTTTCAGTTTGAAGTTGTCATGCTTATTGTGTTGTAGTCTACTTCTTGCCTTGTAAGAGGAGTGTGAAAAATGAAGGTTCATCTGTGTTGGTATAGAGTAAAAAAGTCAATTTTTACTTCATCCTTTTTCCTAGCACAACAAGAAATTGGACATGTCAGACTTGCGGGAAGTATTTTGGGTTTTCGCCAATCTTTTGGCACTGTGGCAGGGAGTACATGGTGTAATTCGATCGAGAAATATACCACTAGCTGAATTCTTCCACATACTGCCCTGCCGTGCCATCCATGCCTAATGGCTTGACCTCCATGTTTGACCTATCAATCAACTGTCAAAATCGCCTCCCACCCACCATGCACCACCACCAAAGCTATTAGGTCAAGCAGAGATGCAAAACCCACTAGACAGCCACCCAAAACAATACATACTTTCATACCCATACCTAAACAGCTGTTCTATGAAACAAAGAAAAAATTGGGTCTCTCCATGGTGCTGAATTTATCCTCCGCCATTGCAGGAAGGTCATCTTTAGGTACATCACAACATATCCTAAACCACTTAGTGACTTCAGCTTCAAGGTTCATCTGTGTTGGTAGAATTCATTCCAAAGCAAGGTTAATCTGGAATTCCCAATGCAATGAAAAAAATGGGACTTTGGAGATAAACAAACCTCAGCAACCTGTCACCAATCTTTACTCAGTTTTCATACCCCAAAAGTGTTTGTATTTTGAACAGCACCTAGCGTTCAATATGAGGTTATAAATGGTTATCTGTAGGTTCCTGCAATAACCCTGCTTCCATTTTCTTCCTGGTTAAGTGGCAGTGGGAAGTGCAGAGATCCGCCGTACGGAACAGCAATGTTGCATTTGCGACTATTGCTGGGGAGATTAGATAAGGTGCATTCAACTTATCATGCAAAAAAACTTTCCTGATACTACAATCGTTATGGGACCTCTCAGCCTCCCTGATGCAAATATTTTTTGACCTTGGCATTGTATGTGGTAAACACATCAGCTTCTGTACTTCTAATTCCTTCCCAGATTCTGAGTCCTTTGACCTACTGTCATTCTGCTTGTCAATCCTTTCCCCACTTGAGTGTTGTCAACCTGGACTCTGTCTGAACAAACAGAATACACAAAACCCACAGCTCAGTCACCCCAAACAATACATGTACATCCGGACCAAAGTAGCAATGAATATCCTTGACTGATATACAGCATGACTTGTACAATGTCTGACTTGCTTCTGGCAGGTGATATCAAATGCAAGATCTAGAGGAGCTGTATGGATTGCTCACATCAATTATTCATTTCCCTTCCTGGAACAGCACCAACCCAGGGTTCTTGACAGTCTCCAGCCTCTTAAGAGTTTTATTAAAAGCTTTGGGCACCCACTAGCACAGTCTACCAATGAAATAAAGCTTTCTTGTGCCATCATGACACAACAATACTTATTAAAATATCTGAACTATGATAACTATAATTACACTTTTAATGAAAGTATTAAGGATGATAAAAATGATATTTTGGACTGCATGAAGCTTTGGACTGCATGGAAACTCTAACTGATATAGGTAAAAGATAGCTCATTTAGATGAACAGCTAATGCAGAATGTAAGACTGCTATCAAAAGTCTTGTATCTAGTACATAATATTACACTCTGTACAAACCTGCATTCTATTATGATTAAGTATATAAATGTGCCTCATACATTAATTATAAAGAAGCATAATCTGTCTTGAAATGAACAAAGATCGATAGACAGGATTATTGTGAAACATGGGATCTTAAGGAATGAAACAAGCATTATTTTCATCTTCCTAATAGATTTAAATGCACAGACTACAAGTACTGGGTTCAAATCTTTTTCAATAAGCAGCTTCAAGCCAGATTTATCAGTTAAAGTCTCCCTTAATAATGACGGTGAGAGACATTTTTACTGCTTTATTCACCATTTTAGTTTTAAATCCCATTCATAATGCTGATGCACTTCTCATTTCCACGATGGAAGTATTGCTTCCACTTGATTTAGAGGGGTTTGAGATGGTATGTCAGGGTTCAAGGATACAGCTGCAGGAGTGTATGAAACATAAATCATGGTGTAATAAGTTTGACCAGTTTGACCATCCAACCGTATGAATGATACGGTAACACATTCTATGATGTAATTTATGAACGCGAACTATATATTTTGGGAAGTTTGAAATCTCTGATTTCTTGTTTTGCAGTTGAACTGCCTTTCTGATGAAATGAATGTCCTAAAATATATGTATACAAAGAATCATTCTATATCATATGTTATTAGTGATGACAGGCAGCATGAAATAGAGGAAAATGGCCAGGGTGAAAAGAAACCAGATTCTATAGTTCCCACAATGCAGTATTATGAGAGCTGGAACCCGGTGCCTTATATATTTGTCAAGGTTAGAGAATTGACGATTCCGCCGGTGGGGACTGTTATCGGTTGACACTCAGAGGCTCCCATAGGGATGCCTACGGAATATGTCATTGGTCTCTCATTTATAAATCCTGAGCTCCCATCAATCCTTTGATCTAATTTAAAACTGAGAATCATCAAAGTTGAAAAGTTCTGAATGTCTTTTAAGCGAATATCAAATTTCCTGTTCATATGTGAGTGAGTGGAGTTGTTCAGCAGAGATGTTAATATGAGCCATTTTGCTTCAATGTGTCACCACTGTATATTGCACTGTTAAATATTCCAATAAGACAAAAAAGGTTTTACCCATTCTACTGTCTGTATCCCTTAACTGGTCCCAGTGTGAAGAGAGCCCCTGGCTATATAGGATGACTAAGTGGACTTACTCTGGCAACAATCAATTTGTTTCTCCTGAACATCCTGATCATATATGCTGACACATCATACATCAACCAATCTCATCTTCACACCCAGGATTAGCCTGTGACTAACCATTACACCGGAGTGAAGCACCAATTTCTCCAATTTCAGTTTGAAGCGAATCCGCAGGAAGGAAGGAAACGACAGATCGATTAGCTTGTGCAGTCTTAGCTGGCTGGGAATTTATGGCAAAGTTCAATATTCATTTAGGGTATGAATAGCTTGACATTTTCCCCTGGACTGACTGATAACCATTATCTAGACATTAGACAAAATAGATTATATTATCTCTCAGACTGAGTATTTTTTGCCATGATAAGTTCTTTAGATGTTTAATAGCTTTTGCAACAATGACCTTTTCAAACTAAAATACTGGACCTATTACTTATATTGACTTTTAGAACTCTGTTCATACCAAATGAAGCCACGTTCATGCTGCTTTCCTTCAAAGCTACATGTACATGTACAGTGCTGAAGACCAAAAAGGAAAAGGACTAAGTATACTATTTGAATAGGTATACCAGTATCATACAATCATACTTACAGTTTGCACATACTAGTGTATGATTAAGAAATGGAACCTGATAATCCTAGCCTACATGTAGCAGGTACAGAATCTGTGGTAACATTCTAAATGCTGTTTTTTTTTTCCAGAACTGAACTGAGAGTGCAACAACTGCAACAGTAAGACACCAGTGAACACTTGGCAGTAAGACACTTGTCAACAACTGGTGGTAACACAGCAGACAACATTTCACAATAAGACACCAGGACAAACCTGTAAGCAAGACACCTGTCATCAACTGGCAGTGAGACATTTGTCAACAAAAGAGAGTAAGACACCTGAGTCAACCACCTATAGTAAGGGACACCTGTCAACAAGAGGCAGTAAAACACCTGTCAACAAGAGGTAGTAAGACACCTGAGTCAACCACTGACAGTAAGTAACCTGTCACATCCCACCTAACAACAGACAGTAAGACTCTGAACAGCTGGCAGAAGTCACCTGTCAGTTGAACCAACTGTACAGCTGCGAGTCTGGCCATGTATGAATGTCATGCCTGAGCAAAGCAACGACTACCGTGTGGTGGTGTTCGGGGCCGCCAGTGTGGGGAAGAGCTCGCTGGTGTGCAGGTTTGTCCACGGGACTTTCTCGGAGAGTTACATCCCCACCGTGGAAGACACCTACCAGCAGGTGATCAGCTGTAACAAGAGCATCTGTACCCTGCAGATTACAGACACTACAGGGAGCCACCAGTTCCCTGCCATGCAGAGGTTATCCATATCCAAGGGCCATGCCTTTATCCTGGTGTACTCCATAACCAGCAAGCAGTCCCTTCTGGAACTCAAACCCATCTTTGACCAGATCTGTCAAATCAAGGGGAACTTGCAAAACATTCCGGTCATGTTGGTCGGGAATAAATGTGACGAAACCGGACAAAGGGAGGTGAACACGGAAGAGGGAACGGCCATTGCCAAATCGTGGAATTGTGCCTTCCTAGAGACATCGGCCAAAACCAATCAGAATGTCACAGAGCTGTTTGAGGAGCTCCTGAAAATGGAGAAGCGCTGGTTCATGAGCCTTAACCTGGAGAACAAGAAGTATCGGAAAATTCACTGCCCCTGTATGTAGCAGAGGAAGGGACGTCAAGTACTTACTGTCTCTACCATTGCTGCCTACAGTTATAAAGATTTATAACACAAGACATCAAACAAAGGGCAGGTCATGTGGCATGAAAGGAAAGGTTGGAAACGGATGGACAGGTTGCAGTGTTAACAAACAAGGACATACTCTCAAAGTACTGGATGTTGCAAATAGAGAGAAAAACACTAAATCTTGAATGTGATTCAAAATCAACCAGTGCATGGGCATGGTCAACTGTGGAAATATTGACACTTTACCTCAATACCATTGTACAGATACAACAAAATCAACAGAAAGGTTGTGGTTAGGACATTTGTGCATGAACGTGGCTATTTGAGAATTTTTTGGGAACAACACGGATATAACGAAACATTTATGTACAGGCCACACTTTTTTACATACCAGTAACAATGTGCATTAGGAAATATCATCTAGAGCTAGAGCTGTCCTGAATGTTAGGACAGAATGTCTTCACATGCTCAAACTAGAGTATGGCACTTTTTCACTTGTATCATGAGTGCTATAAATATATATAATAATGTCTAACTGGACAATTCAAATTGAATGTAACAGTTTTACTACTGTTACAGTTTAGTCAGATTTTTGCAGACATACTGCTAATTGATGTTCAGCTACATGTGGTAGCTTTGTAAGGACATGCTGACAAATTTGTTTACTGCTATATGATTAATGTTAGTGAGGATGTGGCCCAGTGTTGATGACACATGTAGAAATTACACGGTTGTCCCTCTTGGCTGTTGGTGGAGTGTTCCTTCTAGTTCTACTGCAGACTACAAAATGGAGCTGGCTAGCTCATGCCTATTATATTTCCTGACGTGAACTCAAAAGCTAATTTTGATTCCATCACTGTTTGAACTTACTAACTGAACTCCACTCATGCAGGCCTGCAGTGTCATGCCAAGAGACTGATCTTGACTATCAATCACAATTGGCAGTTTAACCAATGAGAAAATGACAATTAGTGGTTCAACCAATGAGAGAGAGTGGCTGTATGTCTGTCAAATATTTGCATCTCCATGTTTATAGTTTAAATTTCTACATTCTGATGGAGGTGAGTGGGGTTATATGGGATCAGTCCATTTCGGCAGTTTACAAGTTATGCAATTCAGATTTGTGACTTTTCACTCTCTCACCTTTTATCAAAGTGAGTAACAATGTCGTTTTTATTTAAATCATACTTCTTGTTCATTCACAAGCTGTAGCTATCTACCTTCCGAGATATAAAATGTCATGCATGTGAGTCCCACCTGACAGAGCTGAATGTTGGAGAAGTGGTGTGCATCCTCCTGCAGCTTGACTTTAGACAGCCCACTGTCTCCATGTACAATCAGTAAAGGTTTCCCCCTGTAGAGAATGCATTATGTAGGGAAGAATGTAATCTCCATTCTGTATTGCCGTGTCACTTTTGGACAGACTGTATCGCTGTGACAAGATAAGATAAGACTCAAGATAGGGAATCTTAGCTGATGAGAAAGTGAGCCAGAATGAATCAAATAGATTTAGTATCAGGTCTTATAGCTAATGACCTACTGAGGATGGGATGAGTAACAAATCACACATTTTAAGTGTTTTAAGATACTTTTGCCTTTCTGTGTTAAGATACTTTGTCTTTCTTCCTTCAATAAGTACATAAACATTACGTGTGTCATGTACAAACTGTTTAACATAATTGTACGTCTCTTTGTGCAAGATGTTGATTGAAGAAAAGATCCAAATTGTATTACATTAATTTTTTGTTTCAATGTCACATTTCTGCATTGAAAGGATTCAACATTTACCGATTAGTTTTATCTGGAGTTGCCAAAACACGTGCAACAACTGTGACATCTTGGTGAAATGTAACTTTGCATGGACAAAACAGAACTAACCCCCTACTGTACAGCATTATTCAACTATTTGCCCAATTGTTTTTAAATGCTCGTTGAAAGAGACATGAACTGTACATATGGATTGATTAAAGGAATTGACAAGTAGAGAAGAGATAGTTGATTGGCAGAAATGTGTCAAGTTATTGATCTTTATGTCCTGATATGAATAAAGTTGATAATGGGAAATGAGTAAAGAACTACTATTGTTTGTTATACTGTACTTACAGTCATTAACTATACCCACCCAATCTAACTGAACTTGGAAAAACAGATTATCTTGTTTCAAATACAAAATATACAATTTATTTCAGTACCTCTTTTTCTTGCAATGAATTGCAACATGGTGTCATTTTGCTGAAAGGTCCCAAACATTGTTGTTTCAAATAATCACAAACCTGCTGTAGCTTAATTGATTGACAAAACACATGACTATAAGTTCAAGGTGATTTCAGAGCTCACCTTGCTTCCTGTGGATACTGCTGCATGAGCCAGGGAATGTCAATCATGTAGTTAAACTGAAAACAACAACAGGAAGAAATCAGTGATTTTAGACTTCTGGGGTTAGTATTTTTTGGGTAGAATCTAAGGTGACTACCATTGTCTGTGCTTCTGACCTTTGTGCATGTTCACTGCTTGCATTCTATGATGATTAAAAATGGAGCTGTTTACAAGAAAAACATACGGGGGGGGCAACAAGTATTGAGAGTGAGAAAAAGTCGAAGTTAGGGAGCTAGAGTAGAGTAGATTTATTTTTCATGTCATTTTTAAAGATGTTATCATCATTTAATACTTGCAAAACATTTTGTGTTTTTTTTAATGTGAATCTTACCTGAGCTGAGGCCACCAGCTCTCCCTTCTCTGCTGCCAATATATCTGTACGGAGAAAGCCAAACGTGAATGTGGTTATCAAACCAGTTAAGCTCTGTCAATGAACTCAATGCACAGTTGAGCCACTCTTCCACTGGTCATGACAGAAAGATAATTGATACAGAACCACTCATCATACCACTGGACTATAAGCTGGACAACAGCACTAGGTGTCACAGTCTTCATATGTTTACTTTCACTGATGAGTGATAACTAAGGATAAAATTGGATGGTACAATATTGTGCTTGGGCTCAGATCCCCTCACATCATACACAAAATGAAGAATTCAGTCAGAAAATAATCTGAATGAATATTCATCTAGTCATTCCCAAACCGGACCCCATCAGCTAAAGTAACTTTTTTTTTAAATACCGGGGCATTCAAGCAGCTCATTCAGGACTGTTTCATTTTTAATGAGGAAAGTAATGAGAAAATGCTTTAACAGATTTCTGACAAAATTTAGACCACACTGACATGGGTTTTTTTTAACTAACCTGCAATGTGCAGGGCTCCAGTCTGATTAAACCTTGCAGCGATGCCAGAGACTTTGGTCAGGAAGAAGGTGTATGGGCCAGGGTCTGCTGTTTGTGCTGACGATGATGATGACGATGAAGCAGCAGAAGGGGACCCTGTTTTGAGCTTTTTGTGAGGTGGGGAGGAGTTTTCATCATCAGATGACGAGTCCCCTGTTGTCATTAGGATTGAAAAGAGACAATAGGTCAATCACAAGCAAGGCAACTTCACTTGGTTGATTAATAGCTAGAAATCAACATTGCTTTAATAGTGTGGACTATCATAAATGGCAACGATGACAAATTGTGAAGAAATTAATCTCCAGCCACAAATTGCTTCCTCAATCTATTTACTGTGAATTGTGAAACATACATGGTAGTTTTATTTTCAGTTTTCACAGTGACTAAAATTCACAAAGGGTTCATGATTTACAGTACATTGTATTCAGATAAATTAATAGAAACAAAACAAATTGAAGCATGTGGTTCCACACCTGGATGTCTGTACTCCCGAAGGTGGACGGGTTCTTCCTGTAACACTGCCTCCCATACTTACACGCCGGCCTTCGGTCTTTCTCAGTATTTCTCTTCTGTTTTCCTTCATGACGTCCTGTTTCTCCTAATCCTGATGGCCCGGCCTGACCACCACTATTGTCCTCCCCCTGTCCTGTCCTGCTGCTCTCTCCAGCACAGTCACCTCTTTCTTCATCTTTCCTTTCTCCAGGGAGAGTCAGACTGGTGGATTCATCAGAATCAGAATCACTCAATGACCACGACATCACAATATCGGCGTGATAGACTTGCTTGTTGTATAGATACCTGTTAATGGGACAAGACAGAAGTCATAATAACAAAGTCCTCAATGTACATGTAAACATGATAGTCCAGTGACTTTTTGTCAAAAGTGGTTAATGCCAAATGTCTTTGTACTTCCAAGAATTCCAAACTAATATATAAGCAGACTTTAGGATTGATTTTTTTTTCACTGCGCTCAACCCGCTCAAGCTGCCAAGATCTTTGGGGAAGGAAATTATACAAAAGGGTATATAGAATGTTCTTGAAAGTCCGTCCATAGGAGCCCAAGAGTAGGATCGCCATCTGGCAGATATGTTCTGAATGACAGCATGATTCCATCACCCCGTTGCAGGTGAGGCAACAGCTCTGACAGTCAGAAATATTCAGCAACATCATAAATCTTGAGGTGATGCAATCTAATTGACAGAATCATCCTGGCAATAATGCACACAGAAGGGCTAAGAAGTATTATGGACAGCAGCAATTTCAGCCAATCAGAGCTTCCTGTACACAAAGCAGCCACTGAGTGACTGACAACAACATGGCTGCCATGGTGAAGGAGGGTAATGAAGTTTCCATGGTAACACCTTCATGATGGGGCCAAACAAGAGCCTTGTACATTAGCATATGGGCACCAAAATCAATTATTACACTATACACAACATAATCTGGAGGCATGATGATGATGATGACACAACACTAGTGCTCTGGTACGTTGAAACATATCTGCCCTAATACACATCTCACCTACTCTCATAACATCCTATACCCCTCTGTTCTGTTTCTCTGCCCTTTCTCACAATCTCAGTGTCTTTCTTACCCTTAATTCTCTATCTATCTGCCCTGCCTCTGTCCCTCTGTCCTTTTCTCTAGTCTATCCCTCTGTCCATTCTTTATCCCTCAGCTCATTCGCTGTTAGCCTGGGTGCCAAACCCATAGCAGAATGAGATACTTTGTGTCCAGTGTGCTATGGGTCTGGCACCCAGGCTAATTCTCTGTCCCTCTGCCCATTCTCTGTCAGTCTGCCCTTATCCCTCTGCCAATCGTAACTCTAAATTAGGGTTACGCTAACCCTAATTTAGTGTTACCATAACCCTGATTTAGGGTTACACTATTAAGTTAGGTTACGCTAACCCTAATTTAGGGTTACGCTAACCCTAATCTAGGGTTACGCTAAATTAGGGTTAGGCTAATGGGGTGACATGTGATGTCTTTTTATATATATAACGTTATATACATATATATATATATATATATTTGTCATCATCAAGAAAATCATGCTTTCAGTTTAATCTGGGGAGGTACGTGTGACAAAGTCATTCCAGTAACCCCTGTTCCTTATGGTGGATATCCAAATTATACATTTGTCAAATCATCATCATCAAATACAAAATTATTTGTATTATTTGCAAGTATTACAAAGATCTTGTCCTTAGAGTAAAATGAAAATGTCCTAACTATCTCGATCTGCAAGGAAAAGCCACTTACGCTTGTGCAGACTTGTTGTTGTCCTTGTTTGTTTGTCTGTTTGTTTGTTTGTCTGTCTGGCTGTTTTTATACGTACAATCTCTTCGCGTCACTTTGTCTCCCAGCTGGTCCACATGTGTACGTCCTGGGGTCGGAGGTCATACTACCCGCTCAAAGTTAAACCTGTTGTGATTGGTCATTTCAAATTCCTTTGTCCAATCAAGAGGAAGTTTACTACACCCTCTTCGTACGCATGCGCGTTGAATACACAACAGTGATCGATGAGAAATGGGGATGGAATTTTTGCCAGCTGAAAGTGTTTAGCAACAAAAACAATCTCTGGCTTGGCGTTTAGGCGTGCCTTGACGGAAGAATCTTGCCGCAGAAGGGCTGACAGGTAAATTTGTGTCATTGTTGTTCTATAAGCACCTTGGCGTTGTTATTGTTACATCTTATGATGTCAAAAATAATTTATGTCTGCATGTTTTTCCCCTAGCACTAAAAAATCTTACTACGTATTAAAGTTTAAACGTTAGTTCGCCAACATAATTTGGAGAGAATTTCCTTGTTTGTACGCTGAGTCCAAGGTTAAATATGTTCTATGATCGCTGAGCTATCGTGTCAGTCCCATGGAATAAGATGCGTCAAAGTTGTAAAATCCCACGTGATTTGTTCGGGCCCCCCTCCCCTTTCCCATACACACGCAAATTATTGATTTCCATGCAAATTGTCAAAAATTTTACCAGGAAATTTTTCGCAAGAACAAAACATGTTGTTTTGGCAGTCCACAACTAAGAAAAAATTATGCCAAAATCTTGAGAGTATTTTTTTCTTACCAGCAATAAAATAATTAACGTTAAATTAATTTGACCCTTGTCTTGTCATGTCAAGGACTGAAGGAGTTTTACAATATACAGTGTTGTAAGTAACTTGTAACTATATAAGATTATAATTTCTTCAGGTAACATTCCCCAGTAGAAATGGCAGAGGTGCATGTGATAGGACAGATTGTCGGGGCGAGCGGCTTCCCTGAGCACAGCCTTTTCTGCAAGTGGGGAGTACATGCAGGTGAGTAGACAACACACTTCAGGTCTCATTTAATATATAGGTGTTATAGATGTATTGTTCCCTTGTATTGCCTTGTGTGTCTGTATGAACTTGGATGCAGTGTAATGGCAGGAAGAAGAGAGGGGGAGATTTCATAACCACAGACTTACAGGAAGGTCCACCCATTCGTCTTAGGTAGTGGGACAGACCATCTCTTTGGTTACGACAATAAATTTGGAGAAACTGTAGATCCTTCCCTTGTAGAAGTTTAAACAGTTAAAGAATGTGTATGATATGTTTGTGTTTTAGGAGGAGCCTGGAAGATTCTGTCAGGAACCAGAGAAGGTCAGACTCAGGTGGACAACCCCCAGGATGAAGAGCGTGCCAACTGGTCCCACCCCATCGATATCCACTTCTCCACCAAAGGGCTACAGGGTAAAGGACTTATACTATCAAGAAAGTTCATCTGTCCTGGTTTTTACATGTTTAAAGTTTAAACTTTTGACCCAACACAAAGAAATCCAGATACCTTTGACCCAGTGTTCCCGTCACTCTTCAAAGAAGCCATGTGACAAGCCTGGCTGGATCAGTCTACTGAGGCAGACCAGAGTAACTTGTCAAAAGCTCTTGGTGAGAGAACTTCTTGGTGTTGGACCAAAAGTTGTAAACTAACTTTAACAGGGAAAAAGACCTTACTGTAAATTCATTTACTTTCACAGTGGCATCATGTTGCAGGATGACGGTAATTTAGGATTTTTTTAGTGGTGTCTTAAGTTCACGGTAAAAAAATTCTGTAGTGTTCAGAGGTCAGATCCTGAAGGTCATGCAAACCCAAAATACGTCCCAGAAATCTGAACTCAGTGCTTTGTTGTTCCTGTCAAATGATTCCATGCAGGCTGGCCCAAGCTCCATTTCCAGGTGTGGCACCAGGATTCCTACGGCAGGAATGAGCTGTACGGCTACGGCTTCTGTCACGTCCCCACCTCACCCGGCATGCACAACCTGGAGTGTGTGACCTGGAGACCAGCCGGGTCACTCAGGGAGCAGATATCACAGTACTTCATAGGTAGGCAAATACATGTACCACCTCCAACCAGATGTAAAGACATTCTACAGTGTTCTATGCATGTAGTAAAATTGCACTACATGGCAAGTTTAGAATAGAAATAAGAATGATTTCACTTTTCAACTTGAAAAGTCAATCATCGGAAGAAAAATACTCTTTTTAGTTGAAAACATCTGCTATTTGATGTTTTCCACAAAAAGCTAGCTAGTTCACAGTAATTTTGCAAGAGACTATATAGATTGTGTCACGTCTCTCTGCTGTATATATGTGTATGGAACGTTTGGAAATCCTTGCTCCCTGTCTTGCAGGTGGTGGTCCCCAGCTGAAGAATCCAGACGTTGTTTACACAGGTGCAGACAGATGCAAGCTGACCACAGTCACCATGGGAAAAGTGCAGCTACAGTTGGGAATTATCCTCCGGAACTTTGACAAATATGGGATAGAGTGTTAACACAGCTTCTTTTTTTTCCTTTAGTTCTGTACAAAGATTGATATTCTATTGAAAATGAACAAGTTTGGTGGCATACATTCCTTATTTGTTGTTGATATGTTGCATGTTTGTAACTTTCGCTAGTAATTGTTCCATACATTTCATTTCTATACCATGTCTAAATGCTTGTACATTAGCAAGAAATATGGAGCAGATCTATTTTGTCATTAAAGAAAAAAAAGACAACCAGTATGTTGTACAAGAATCTTATTTTGGATACTAGTACTCAACTGTTTATTTGTATTTGTCAAAAAGATTTAGGGGGAATTTACCCAGTACAATACAACGAATCTGTAAATACTGTATATAGTGTCTGTCTTCTCTGTCACAACCAGTGGAAGAGTAGGTCTTCATTGAGTAAGCTGGTTTCAGATCACTTTCACTGCCCGGATTTTGCAAACATGGTAAATAATGTTCTATATGTACAGGAAGCTGTTCAGTTGCTTTGTTTCGGAATCCTGTTTTGTGTGCATTACTGTAGGGTGGATTTAATTGGGAAAAATCTGGATACGTGGAGCTTTTCTTTGTACATTTGTATCTCATTCGATTTCAGACACAAGTGCTTTTTAGTTTGAGAGTTTTGTGTTATGGAAAATACTTCATGAACTCTAGTATAGAATTAAAGATGAAGACTTGAATTAATTGTAAAATCCAATTCAAAATGAAGAAGATGAATAAAGTGCTCAGAATATCTCATAGTTATCAAGAGTTTTGAGAGGATGAGAAGAAAAGAAACACATGTACTTGAAAACCCTCTGGTGAAATTCGAATTTCTCAAATCTTATTTTTAATGGCTGTTGATATGGTAGAACTTGGCCAAATATTTAAGAAGGGAGAGAGCCAGTCATGGATTGCAAATGGTTACTCCTGGCACATGAAATCACGCATGCAACTCGTGCCTCTTGACACCCCCTCAGCAGAGTGGTACGTTCCACTCTTTACTTCCGGGTCAGGAGAGAAGCGCGCTTACTAAGTTCTATTTCCAGTGGTGACGGCTGTTTGCTTGTGGGACGTTAGCGTTTGGTACACCGTGGTGTTAGTACAAGTAACGTTCGGACATGGCAGACATTACCGTCGGTTCCAGGATTATCTGTGACGAAAACTACGGGACGGTGAGATATGTGGGGGAGGTGCCGCCCACAAAAGGTACGTAAACGTTACACGAACCTGAGCGCATCTTGTTGATGCAGAAAGTTTTCCCTATCCACAAGGCTTTTGGCTTACGACCCTGTTGCACGGCCAGGCTGTTCAAACACAAAACATTCCTGGCCATTTCTTTATTTCTTACATTGTTATAATCCATATACAAGGCTATAGCACACCACAAAACGCGATCTTTCAAACCTCACATATCTTTATTCATGCGTGTTTGTTACTCCGTGAAGGAGGTCAGGACCTCCGGACGGAGTGTTGTGAAGAGCCGTTTTTTCGTGTTCGCAGTCAAAATACGCACTGGGTTCTCTTTGTGTAATCGGCATGTAGTAGTAGAAGTAGAAGTTTTTCCAGACAGATTGTTACCTGTCTCCTGTTACTGAGTATTATACTTGATTGTACAAGCAATTAGCCTTCGGGCATTATTTTTGCAAATAAAGTTTCAATGTATTTGTGTGTGTGTGCTTATGTCTAGTATTACAGGTGCGTGTGTATGTGCCTGCGTGTGTGTGGGTATTAATATCATATTGTGCTGACATTTGTCTGCACCCCTAGGCCTGTGGTTTGGTGTGGAATGGGATGACCCCAGCCGAGGCAAACATGACGGAGCACATGAAGGCACCAGATACTTCACTACCAGGTAATGTAATGTACAGTAGGCTTTCTATGGGAACGTACAGGTTTGGTTGGACAGGGTGTGAATGGGGATTGGGGATCTAGTATTGCTATCTCTGTTAGCTCTGTATGATTCTATGAATTTGATTGACACCTCTGCCATCCACGCAGAAAGACATAAAATTAATGGACACTCAGAGAGAGGTCTTATCTGTGTGGAATCCCCGCTTTAAGTTTTCTATTCTGCAAAAACCTTTACAAACAGAATAGCTTTCAGCACCATGGACAGCGTCCGCCTGTCTTCATGGTCAACAGAAGCTTTTGTTAGGATACCCCGGTACTCTTACTGTACGACAAGTTCTGCAGTATTCTACGTTATACGAAAAAAGAAAATATCCATTTTAATGACTGTGAGACAATTTGTGACATTGAGGCCAATGACTACTAGGGCTGAAGAAAAACTTGTGCATATTGTATTTAGTTACTGTTATGATGATGACAATGTTGATTCAATTTCAAACAATAAACAAACAATCACAAAGCAGTGTTGATTTCTCCCTACTTCACCAGGCACCCCACTGGAGGCTCGTTTGTCCGTGCCAAGAAGGTGGACCCTGTGAGGCAGACATGTTACGAGGCCCTGACGGATAAGTACGGTATGGCGGAGGACGGAGACACAGGCATCAACGAGGAAGACCTGTATGTCATGGGCAGGTCAACGAAAAAGATTATGGTGGAAATGGTTGGAGCTGAGAAGGTGTCCAAACAACAAAGGTATTTTCCATGTGAACCATGTGGCAGTTTTGCTAAATGCTTCTTCTTGATCTCCAAAATCTGTTGGAGAAGAAAATCTCCTTTTCAAAGTCCTTTTAACTTCTAACTTGTTTTGAGTGGTTGAGATGTGGGTTTGTATGTGTCTGTGTCTGTGTCCGGACAGAGCAAAAGTCCATGGTGGGATAGAGGGATGGGTGCTGGAGAGAGCCCTGACTTCTATCTTAGTATCCAATAAACAATTTGTATTTTTCAGCCATGAAAATCTACGCGAAGTCGACTTGAGGGACCACAAGATTGTCGGTGCCGGACCAGATGGCATTCTCCAGAAAGCAGCACCTCGTAAGCTCCTTATTATATTCATTCAATATTGTCAAGTATAAGGAGGAAAAACATCTAGTACTTATTCTACTTATTTATTACACATATCCAGTACTCTTACTGTAGATGGGTTAAAATAACAATTTTAAAAACTCTTGAACTTGCTCTTTTGGTTTCATAAGAAGTAGTCAACCAGCATCACACAGCAGGACAGTGTGATGGTACCTTTAGGGGGAGTCATATCAAGCCTAAGGGTTTTATCTTTGTCAACTCTTCTTTTAGACATCACAGAACTTGACTTGTCCAAGAACCTGCTCCCGTCTTGGGAGGAAGTTGCCAAGATCACATCCCAGTTCCACTGCCTAGAGATACTGCATGTCAGGTTAGCCTCTCCTTTGTTTTCCTCATATTTAAATATGATAATTATGATGCTTATTGCTGATTATTGCCCAAACGGTGAATGGATAGATGACAACTTGGTCTCATGGATGTAAAACATTTAATCTGAGACACAAAACATTTTTGCAAGCTGCGGTGCCAGAATCCAGACTGGATGCCGTGTTAACTTTGATACTGTGATGTCATTGCAGGAATACGCAACCCTTAATCTAATTACAGCTCTAGATCCAGAGCTGGAAGTGGAATGGTTCAATGTTCAATAACACTCATGGTTAAATCAGGAAATGTATGTATTTTGGCCTCACTGGTGTCATAAGCACTGTAAGTTTCTCACCCAGTTGTTCTGTTGTGTTAGTGAGAATCTGTTAGAGGAACCAGAGGACCCTGCTAGCCTGTCCCCAGCACTGCAGACAATCAGGACCATTTTCTACAACAGAGTCCAACTACAGACAGAACAGGTTAGAAAGCATTTCTTCTAATACTTTTCCATTTATCATATCTATCATGATTTGTAAGTGTAGTTATCAATGATTCAACGTATCCTGCAGACTTTAAGTGAAAACATATTGTTCTCCAAACATCACAACTTCCTGTACAATGAGTACAGCTTTTTTGCACTTGTATCATCACTTCAAGAACATGACGAGCATCAGTCACATGTTTGTTCTCTTCCAACCAGTTACTGAGGTGTTCTACCATGTGGCCAGCTCTTCGCGAACTCCACATCTGTTTCAACAGCATCACAGTGTTAGATAGGTGGGTACTAGTTCTGGCTATCATTTTGGGTATGTTTTTATGCGTGTATGCTTGTATTCATAAGTATTTGCATGCAGTAGAGTGGCAGGAGGGGGGGATTTGGTAACTGCAGATTGACCTTAAGTGATGGCTGGCAGGCTGGGAGGAACTGATGGCTCCACCAATGAAAATCTTTACTGAAACTATGGATCAAACATGATAATTGTTTAATACCAAGTCAGTATTTCAGCCTTCTTCTATGACTTAGGCCATGTTAATTTGATTATATGGATGACATCCGCGCGCGCATGAATTTTCGGCCGTTTCCAAAAAAAAAAGAAAGTTTTACAACCATACTGTAAATCATACAAAACAGTTGCAAAAATGAGCAAAAAATATACCATAAGTTACAAAAAAAATGATAAAAACTATACCAATGTCGTAGAATGCCAAAATCAAACGTAAAAAGACGAAATTGTAAAGAAATGAACAATTGAAGACTAGATTATTCGCCAAACCATATTCTATTCAAGATTCAAGATTCAAGATGGATTTATTGGTTCTTCGCAGTTAAAAACAACTGAATTGTAGACCAATTTACAAAGCATTGGTATATTAAAAACTACAAGTTTGCAATCAATATAGACGTACGATTACCAAACCAATAAAAATACATGTTCCATACATTATAAATTTCCCGGACAACATTTGATACAGAAACAGTGTGCTACATATTAGAAAAACAACAGTCAGGGGTTCAGTCCATGGTTATTGAGGAGCTGGACCATAAACGGTATGGGCGAGTTCTTGTATCTATTCGTTCTTGCTCTCGGACAGTCTAGCATCTCGCTGTTTCTAGTACTACGGCCAGTTATTTGTGATCTCTGTGGAGGTAGCCAATCTCTGTATTCTGACCTCACAAGTGTCCTAGCGAACTTCACACACAACAGTTCTCTTCTCTCGGCAAGTGATGACAATCCGAGGTGTTGTAGTGCGTTGTCATATCCTGTGTAGGCGGTTCCCAGGATGATGCGGCAAGCCCGCCTTTGAACACGCTCAAGGCTGCGTTCCTGGGCTTTAGTGAGGGCAGGGGTCCAGGCAGGGGCTGCATACTCCAGGATAGGTCTAATATATCCTGTGTAGATGGTTGTGAGGTCACTGTGGGAGACGTTGAACCTTTTGAGACGTTTTAGGAAGTAGAGCTTTCTAGACGCTTTCCCCACCATGTGATTGACCTGTTTATCCCAATGAAGGTTGTTCTGGAGGATCACGCCAAGTACTTTCAGACAAGGTACAACAGGGAGAGACACGTCATCGATTTGTAGCGGTGGCAGCAGTGGTGGATTCCGGGAAAAGGTCACATGCATGACAAGGCATTTACTACTGTTTAACAGCATGTGATTTCTCTTGGACCAGGTGTTTAAGTCATCAAGGTCATTTTGTAGGCTGGACGGCTGATTGAGACTTCTAGTCTCCAACAAGTTCATGTCATCGACGTACTTCCACACGGGGCTGTTGGCGTCATGACAAGCATCGTCGATTAACACTAGGAACAGTACAGGTCCGAGCAGTGTCCCTTGTGCCACTCCACACGACAAGTATTCCCATCCGGATAGAGCCCCACGGTAGCGAACGACTTGTCGCCTTCTGGTGATAAGGTCGCATATCCACGGTAGTAGTTCAGGCCTCAGTCCTTTGTGTATCAGCTTTGTTATCACTGTGCTGTGGTGCACTCTATCAAAGGCTTTGGAAAAATCCGTAGCCAAGATAGAACAGGAAGTGGAGGGTTTATCCGTTGCCTTGCAGAGACTGTCGATCAGGCTGACAATGGCATGTACAGTTGAGCGCCCTTTCAAGCTTCCAAACTGTCGTTTGTCGAAGTCAATGTCATTTAAGATCCATTTCAATGCAAAGTATTCAGCAATCTTGGAAACTGGGAGGTAAGGGAAATCGGTCTTAATTGGTCGAGTGTCGGTGGTTGGGATTTAGGGATGGGCACGACAACTGCCTCTTTCCACTGGGCAGGCACAATGCCCTCTGCAAAGGAGGCGTTGAGGATATGGCAGAAGGGTGCGCTAAGTTCGCAGGCGAACTCGCGTAGTAACTTTGGAGGAAAGTTGTCAGGGCCGGGTGCTTTACTTGTCTTAACCGCCAGGAGTCGCTTGTATACATCCCAAACTTGGAGGGTAGGTAACTCCTGGGGGGCAGGTAGAAAAGTAGGTAGCGAGGTAAGGTCAAGTGCAGGAAGGGCTTGGGATATCCCAGCAAACTTTGAGTTGATGGCATCAGCTATTCTGTGCCATTTGCTCAACCCTCATGACCACGTAGATTTCATAATGAAAAGAACTTTTTTTTTTGCAAAACTTTTTTTTCATTCACACGCGCGCATCAGTTTTCGGGCTCCCGGAGGATGTCATCCATATAATCAAATCAACATGGCCTTAAGCATATTAAAGTCTGCTGACAGTTCTGATGAAATGATGGTGAGTTGGTCTTGACTTACTGGTCACTGTATGTTCTTGTCATGACAGTTTAGGGACACAGTTTCCTGCCCTGACCCTGCTCAACCTGGAGGGGAACCTGCTGCAGGACTGGGAGGAAGTTCTGAAACTCGGGGACATGAAGAGGTCAGGATGTGGCAATTGTAGTCTGGATGACAATCTTTTCAGCTGTACAGCTTTATATACAGGTGCTTCCCCACCAAAAAAGACCCACACATATCCTATCTGTCTGTCATTTGAAATATACAGATAAAATATGTATGGGTCCAATTGTTTAGGCTATTTTAAGACATTGGGAAGCAACCAAGAGTGCCAGACGAACTAAAGCTAAAAAAGTTGGTATCCAGGATATTGCAATAAGTATACTTCGTTTTCTACAAATAAGTTCTGAGTTTAATAGTGGACAGAACAATTTGCAGTAAGAAAATGTGTACCAACAATGTTCACAGTCATGTTGACTCCCATGTCTTCATGCATAGATGTGTTCTATCCAGTGTTATGTGCATCTGTAAACAGTATATAGCAGTTCCTCACATGTCATATATTTTCCTCCTGTCCAAATAGTCTGGAGACCCTGATAGTGAATGACACCGGCCTGACCAGAATTGCCTTCAAAGACACGGGTGTTGGTTTGTATCTGCTTCTATGGTAAACTCTGTGGTCCTTCATAGACCATATGATACAAAAATACAACATTTTTGTTATTTTGAGAAACCCAATTTAGAGTTTTGTGAGAAATGCTAATTTACTTTTTTTTTGTTTACCTCCTTTTTCAATTCTAGGTGAGAAATCTGGCCTGTTTCCCAACCTCAAGTCCCTCTCCATCAGTAGGAACAAGCTGGAAAATGTAAGTGTGTTTAACATCTTCAACTTTTATTTCTATTGATATGTAATGTCAATTGAAACATCCATCATTTCACTCATAATCTCTTGTCTGTTCACCTAGCACCTAACCTCTCTTGTAGCTTTGCACCTTTTGAACTTAATGCAATCCTCAACTTCTAGGAATTCAGTTCACCCTCTGATTGGCCTGTCGTTCTGCCTGTCAGGTCTACCCCCACCCACTTGCTGTCAACCTATGCAAAACAATACTTCAATGAATTCTCCTATCTAATTGTGTCTAATTTCCTTAGTGGGGGGACATCAATGAGTTGGATAAGCTGCAGAACCTGGAGGAGTTGGAATGTCGCAGTAACCCTGTGTTGAGCCAGGAGACAGACAAGATGGCCGTCAGACTGCTGCTGATCGCCAGGATAGGAGGCCTCAGGACCTGCAACAGGAGTCAGGTGGGTTGTGATGAGGCTATGATATTAGACACACAACAAATGAAGCTGTCTATGGAGGCAAAGCATTGAAATATTTCCTACTTGAAATTGTTGCGTGCTTTACCACTTTCAAGATCCACTTTACTTTCATATTTACAAAATTGCAAAAACACACGTATGTAACGTTACTTGTATTTTCAAAATTGTTGATAATCTCATTGCTGGTAGGGTTTTGTGATAGGGTTGACACCAACTCATCTCCTTTTGATTGTTTTCTGATATCCATCTTGTATGTCAAACTTTGTTTCTTCCCAATGTAATTGTTATGTTTTTAATATTTGCACACATATTTACATACCTATTGATAGCAAGGTGGGTCTAAGGTTTTGACAGCTAGCTTGTATCCTGCAGGTTACTGTGAAAGAGCGAGAGACTGCTGAGTTGGACTACATTAAGAAATACGGGCTTGTGTGGCTGAAAGCAGGAGGTGACCCAGAACCAGACAAAAACAAACCTACCCTGGACTTCCAACAGACACATCCAAGATTTGCTGAACTCATAGCAAGTCAGTATTGATACCAATAATTCATTAATTACTTTCTAGGGGACTGTACGATATTTAGTGGGGGGGTGCACTGGAGGGGAGGACCATTGAAAAAAAATTGGGCTGGGAGGAGGGGGGGACATTGAAAAATTTTTGGGCCTGGTGGGGCTAATCAACTCCTGGCATGCAAAACTCCTAGAGGCGTAACACTCCTACTGGGCAGTCTGTTGAGCTGGACAGGGGAAAACCATTATATTTGGAGCCCCGAAGACAGCGTGCCCCAACCACAGTAGACTGGATACCAGGCTGACATACACTTGAATTGAGAAAATTACTTAGAGCATATACATGTAGTTACAGAGGTGCGACTTTGCACTTCACACCATAACCCATAATTTCTTTCTCACATTCTCAGAGTATGGGGCTCCTAACAAGATGGAGTTGGAACCAGTCACCACAGCTTTGAAAAAGGCTCTTATTTGTATCCTTTACTGTACCGAGTTACAGAATTTTAGACAAAAATTGTTTACATCGTGTCTGTGGGTGCTTACAGTTACAATCTTGCTTAATTGCCAGTTTCCTGCAGTACCAGTTATACTCTGCTAGGGCAACATTTAGGGTTGTTTACATTTTGTACTTATTGAACAATGATTTTTGCTGAAATCAGGTACATTTTTGAGGAATGATATGGACAAATCGTATTCATTAATGGAAACTTTAACTGAAATAAAAAGGAGTTACCCACCATAAAAGGCATGTTCATGCTTAGGAGGGACTGATTCCAAGAACCAATAATATTATTAATAGGTGTGGCCCAACCCAAAGATTTGTCATGCTTCTTGGATGAAATGTTAGGATCCTATAAAGAACACTAGTAGTACATTGCATGTTGAAACGCTGAACCTTAACTTTCTGTGCAGCTGTGAAAATAGTTTGTCCATCAAAGGGGGACAAAGTCTACAACAAGAAGCTACCAGGTATGAAATAAATTGTGTTATGTACAAGTGTAGGAATGTTTCTTACTGATGTACTGTGTGTGTAACCAGTGTTTTGGTACAAAAACAGCTCAATAAAGATTTGCCATGAACTACTTATCATTGTTATTAATTGTAAGACAATAAACTTACAATACACACTCGGTCATTTAAACTTACCTTAGGCAATCACTCAAGGGACTGAGGAAAAGTGATTGCTGCAGACAGGGGTTGTTGATAGACACTGGTTACAACCAGACCAGCGCTGAGAGGGCATTCCTTTTGTGTGAGATTGCAAGGCACAATATTCTCAAATACAGTACACGACTGGCACATGTATGTACATGTACCACAAGTACTACACTACTGACACTTATGTACCACAGGTACACTACTAGTACTAACACATGTACCAATGTGTATGTACCACAGGTACCATGACAGTGCAGAAGCTGAAGATCTTGATCCAGCGACTGGTCAAGGTCAACATCACTGATCAGAAGTTGTCTTACACCAGTGGGAAGGTGATTCCTGACTTATACCAATTGTAATGTATAGTGAATAGGCTTCTTCATATCTATTATCATTTCAACATACTATCATTATAATTCAACATTATATGTAATAGTTTTCTAAGTTGGAAAACTATGTATTTCACCGTGTCAACATTTCTGTGGCCAACAGGACAAACTGAAATTTCACATTTTAGTTTTACTAATACATGTACTGTGAGTCTGTGACATAATGGTGACCACAAATAATGCGTTCTTGAATGTGATACACCTTATTAGTCTGAGACGAGTTAAAACATGGCTTCCACAATGTGTATATGTATAATGTACACACATGAGGTATTAATAAAAAAACAAAACCCATTCTGTAGGAAGATCTGGAGGACAATCCTGAAATTGAACTGGACAACGACATGCGAGACCTGACCTTCTACTCCATAGAGAACGGGGACATCATCTCAGTACAGGTGGAGTCCAGCTGACCTGGGACCCTCTTCCAGCTCACTGTCGGAGACTTCTGACATAAATTACATACCTTAAGGGCTGGTCACATTTGTCGTGTCGTAACCTTAACTTAAGATAAAAAAAATGAGAGCATTCTTACAGCCCTGTCTGTCTGAATCATGGCAATCAAGCACTGACATGAAAATAATGTATGCTAGAGCTTAGATTCTTTTGATGACAAAATGTCCAAAGCTATGCAAGGTCTTTAGCTACTAGTGACTATTGAGATACATGTACATGTAGATGCATTCCAGCCACAATTGTTATAATGACTTGTAATCATTCAAATGTTTATGACACAAAGGTATTTGTCTTTGGGTTATCATGTACATGAACTACTACTACTGGTATTGCTTGTGTACAAATGTAATTGTTGATGATCAGGTGTTGTATTGGAAGTGAATGCTACTTTCATTCTGAAATCAATTTAAAACTTTTTTATTCCGAATTTCTGCACAACATTTACTTCGCAACAAAAATTTTATTACATTGTTTGGAACACATTTTTTATGAACATGGGTTTTATGTACTTAATTCAGTGCTTAATTCAGTCTAGTTCTTTCTTACGTTCTTAAGGAATTTATATTTACATTGAAGTTATTTCTCAGGCATAACAACAGCAGTATCTATGGTCTTCATGATAATACTTCATGAGACATGTAATACTTCCTATAAAGTGATGTTGGAGATATTGTTCAAGGCCAAATATTTGCAGCATTGTTTTATGCTGCATTCAGATGGAAATTTGTTCATCATGTTGGGTGTAACTGTAAGAGATGCCAACTGCTCATGCCCAGGAAATTGGGCTGGTACATTATTGTGCTGCCTGGTCCATGACTCTGATAGGTAACAGGATACGGTTTTGATTCATCTCAACTATCCTTCCATTCATGACCATTTCCTCCAGAATCATGTATGCCTTGTCCAGATTGAACATGATGTCCAGTTCACACACTTTGTCAAAATACTTGTCGTATGTTTCCACAATGTTGTGAATAAGTTCCAGGATGGCAAGTTCGTTTTCCATGTGGTCAACTCCAACTATGAAGTAGAGAGAAGCGTATCTCCTGTACACCAACTTGAAGTTCTTGTATTCCAAGAAGGAGCACTGTAATGAACAGGTGATGATAAAAACAAATGAACTACTCACATGTATGGGATATAATGACTGGAGAAAATAATATACTATATTAAGCCAAATTAAATGTAGAACAACTAATCCATCCAATGATCCAAGGACATGGCCTAAATCAGCAAATTTACACCAGTAATGAACCGGGATGAGGGAGGATGCAAATTGAACATCTTAAGCAAATGATAATTCCAGGTACATGCATTAATAAACATCAATTTTATTGCACAACATTTGTGACTGCTACAATGGGGTACTGTAGATATTAGATACATACAATGTATGTAACAATGTATGTATACTATTTAAAGTTGTGAACAGAGATGACTATGATACTAAAACATGTATCAGAATGCACAGGAGACATTGTGTATGTTACAAGTTTGTGTTTGAGATAATACTGTCACTTTTGCATAGAGTATATATTGACCTAGATATACATTGTAAGTAAATAGGCTCGGGACAGAGGTAGATGGAGTGTCTGTCCCACCTGACTGTCTTCTCTGGCCAGACATTTCCTGATGATGTCTCTCTCGATGGAGACACGGTCCTGCTCCGGGTGTTCATAGTACTGTGCCAGGCGCGTCTGGCCCTGCTTGTTTACCAGCAGGATGAATTTCAACATGACTGAAACAGAGGAAAGTGGGTTAACGTTATATGTTATACCAAGGGGGTTAAATAACCTCCTTGGTTGAACTAGTAGTAGTAGTAATGCAGTACTTGTTCCTCTCTCTTTTTACTATATTTTCCATTCGGGGAGGGGGGGGTCAAACATTGTGTGGGAAAACCAACCTGGAGAGGGGTTTGTCCTGATAACTGGTAAAACGTTAGATGATGTTGAGCACACATAACATGTTTTTCGTCAGCGGACGGGACCTCATTTTCCGCCAACCCCAACGCCAGAAGTCGCTGCGCATACCGTTACCAAGGAGCTTTCTTCTTACGCCGTTACGTAGTGTACAGCAGTTTCCAATCAGTGCAGTACCTTTGATACGAGTAAACGACGGCAAACAAGGCGACTGCCTTGATACTCTATAATTTATGAAACAATTGCAGCAGTATTTATATGTTTACCTTGGTTTACCTCTGTCTGATACACCAGAAATTTATCGCAGTGTTGGCAAGACGCCTTAGAGAGGTCCGGAGGGAACGTTTACTCGAAGCAGAGATCGAGATCGATGTACAAACGTTACCGGGCTACGCAAGCCTCGTGAAACCGGGACAAGTGAACTGACCTGGACGGGATATGGTATCAGATATACATGGTTAGTCAGGTCTAATGTTCTGATGAAACGCCCGAGCTGCACACCGGCTGCACACTCACACACAGCAGGCCATCTTTTATCAGCAGACCCCGTTACCTTTGACCTCATGACGCACTGCCATTTGATTTGGCGACGTCATACAGCTGATACATGCATAAACGTCACAGACTTGGGAAAGAAACAACCCCCTTGGGAAAAGCGTCTGGCCCCTAATACAACCCTCGTCGGTATTGTCTGCTCCAAACACCTTTGTAAAACACAGGAATTACTTCTCATCATCGGAAACTGTTTTCCCCTTTCCACAACCTTCACGAGAATCTCTACATCTAGTTAACGTTACATTGATGCAATGAGGTTTCCAAAAGATAAGCCCGTAGGTCCAAGAAAATCCTGTTGGAGGGCCAAACAAACACTGCTTCTCCTCGAGCCTAAAATCCACTAAAATCATGACCGTAGCTAGCTAGCATGTGACAACAGGGGATACCAGAACTACATGTACAAGCTGCACTGCACAGTACCATTAAAAGGGGCTAGGCTATAGGAGACCCTGAGTCAAACTCCTTATTTCCCATTTCAATGTGTAATATGTGCAATATGCCAAGAAAGATACTGTGATTTTTTAAATTTCATAATCACATAATCATTAAATTTTTTGAACTGCGATTCCTTTGGACGTGCTTCAGCCCGTGTATCGCCTCCTCATAAAACTTACACAGTCTCCCTATACTACTTAACCGTCCCGGCATGCACCGCGAGAGGAATCCTCGCACCCTGTAATGGCGGCCATCGAGTAAAAATCTTCTCTGGAACACAGATGGACGACGGCTCGACTGGCAACCCGCACGCAGTGCCACCGGGCTCTAACCAACCCGGGATGATTCCCAACAAACCACAGACTCTCCAAGATGAGCAATCGCAGCAGACCAAGTACTCCATACCGGGTATTCTTCACTTCATCCAACATGAGTGGGCCCGCTTTGAGATGGAGAGGGCGCACTGGGAAGTTGAGCGTGCAGAATTACAAGTAAGAAACCACGCTAATTTTGTTCCCATCAGCTTGTTTATGATCTTCAGAGGCTTAGCTATGGTATACAATCATTGACCGCCGGCTAGTATTCACACTACAAGCTTAGTTCCTCTCACAGTTGCAGTAAGTCCAGTACGTAACGACGCCGCCATGTTGGATGGAACATGGCTTCCTGTCAGTGTGACACCACGCAAATTTCTGCCATTTCACAGCCAGCTTTTCGCTAATCTTTCCAACATGCGCACACCAGAGCTGGTACAATTTCTTTGGGCACGCAATATGTGCCGTTTGAACGTGTCTAAGTCAGCAAATTTCCCAGCTATAGTTGTCGGCGAGGCCGTGTTGTGATGCGAATGTGTACCAAGCTAATTAACATACTCCGCCCATATTATCCCTCTTTATCACAAAACTGTTTGGGGCAGCCGGGCTTCTCGTACCGTCCTCGCCTGCTTACACTCTCCGCGATGAATTATTTATTCACCAACTACAAGATCTCATAATCGCGGGGCGAGGAGGAAGGGAAATTGGTGCGAGGTTGGACGATTGAAATCACATCAGACGCCTAGCTGCCAAAGCCTTACGCACCAAATATGGGCATTCTTTACTTTTCCTTTCTGAAGAACTTCCAACAGTGCCCACATGGGTATGACTGTGAGGTTACTCACCCAAATTAATATTTCACCGTTTTGGGACTTTATTAAATATAAAAAAATCTTGAGTTTGAAAATAATACGAAATGGGGTCCCATTTTGTAAGTAGGAATTCTGGAAAATTGTGATCACCTGGACATAATTTATAACAAATACAGAGTCCAAAGCTCAGTTTGTCCAGGCTTGGATCTGTGGCATATCACAATATCTGTTGGTAGTTAATATAGAGTAATAGTGGCACAAGATGCAAAGAGTTGTGAGTTTTTAATATTCTCAGAGGCAGACAATATGAATGTGCAAATCAATGCTGTTGCCACGGCAAGCATTTATACTATATACTAGTAGTTAGTTTTGCCTTACATTACATGGACTTTATTTACTTATGGACACTTGTCATTATTCATTATCCAAAGGAACAGCTCAGAATACTGTTGTGTACATGTGCACTTTTGAGCAGCCAATATTGGAGCTGTGGTTATGTTAGCATGTCAATTGTTTGTACGTAATATACGGTATTATATTATATATCTTAAACTTGTACAGTACAATTTATAATATTTCATTGTCATGCCAGGGTGAGAGCCAGTAAAGGTGATCACACCTGTTCTCTCAACTTTGAATCCTTCCACATTGATGCTGAATTTTAGTAAACAAATGTTTGTTTTTTTTTACTCTGGGTGCACCAATATACCAAGATAACTGGGGGTTACAGCACAGAAAAAGTGCAATTGTAGTAATTTGTACACTTAACTTAATTTTACATACACTGTTTTACATCATATACTTTACATGTAAATGTCAGAAAAATAATAAAACATTTGTTGTTAACAATTAAAAGTCAGTTATAGAGTTAGTGTTCATCACCATTATAAAAGCTGACATCATGCTTATGTTATGCATGTGAAATTCATTTTATGTTGGACCTCAACCTCCGAGTAGTTAGACTTTTATGTGCTTTTCATGATCAGATGTTAAACTTGAAGGCAATGCATGTACCTACAGGAGGTAAAGTACTAATATCAAGTACACTGTAACAACATGTCTTGAGGTAGGTATTGCATCATCACCAAACTAGATGACAGTTGAGTAGTGGCCTTGACTGTTTTAGTATGTTACCTTTTCAGGTGGCAACTTACAGGGTCCAAAACTTACATACAGTCGTTCAGGGCTCAAAATGTTGGGTGCATAAAGCCATAATGCACTTTTGTGCAAACTTGGAGCTTTGCACCTAGTAATTTTCACTGTGGGTGCACCAATACAATTAGATATTCATATATTGTTATTACCTCCGGGGGAGGAGACATCCTTCCGCGGAAGGGTTTTGTGAGAGATTTAGATTTTCATGTTCGCAGCTGTTTCTCGCGTTTGGGTCGACGGATTCTTTTGAGACTCGGTACATGTTTTGCTATTGGGCTGCAGATGATGCACGTTCTTTTGTTTTTATTGTATATGTGTTTTAGGGCGTGAAAATGGTACCTTTTGGTGGCCCCAAAACACCCCTTTTAACGTGAAAGTGGTCGCGACCGTTGACCTTTGGCGTGTTTAAGCTATTCTCGGTCTGGTCCACGTATATGACCCCTCACACAGAGGGGTGTCCGGTCTCGATAATTTTTTGTTTAAAATCCTATATAAAAAATATACAATAAAAAGCCCGGAGGTATAAAATCTCAGATTTTACTTGTTCATTTTATATCTGTTGTATAAATCATTAAATGTACATGTAAGTGTGAGCGAAGGACTGGTGCAGGTTAGGTACAGGTAGACAACAGCTCTAATTTTACTTCCACTAACCTGCATATGTAGGTGGTATTTCAATGATGATTGTGGGGTACTCACCCACTCATTTCTAAGCACAGACTACAAATTTAAACAGAACCTGACAAGAAACTTCATGCTGTAAATGTGTTAACTTTTGTGGTGGGTTTATTTCGCATGGGGTTTTTGCAGCATTTTGAATCTGAGTTGAAACAATTGTGTATTAGTACTACCACTGAGTTGTAATTGGAAACGCATATTTGTGGTGTTATGGAATTTGCTCTGACTGGAGAGGTGACCATGAAAGCTGTGAAAATAACCTGCCACAAAAGTTTCAAGGTGTCTTCAAGGGAATGTTAAAAGAGAAGATGGCACATGTTGGTGAGCATCTTTCTGTTCCACGGTATTCTTTCTTTTCATTAGAAAATGGATGCAGGAAATTTTTCAGCCAACTGCAATTTTACCATGTCATACATGGACCTACTAGAGATGTCAGTCAACTGTGTACATGTAAAAGATAGTGCCCGCACTATCATATCAGTATATTTCATTCAAATCTGCCAATTTTCACACTACTGAATGGACATGCGGGTATGAATAATACATGTGATGACATCCGGTGTATCCAGTCATCACAGACATCATACACTTTGACTTTAGGCCACACCAATTTAATTTCTTGGTTAACGGATTCGCCGCTTCATTTTTTTCTGATTTGCAAATAAAAATAAAAATCCAAAATCAACTGCAAAATGCTCATATTTTGCCCTGAACAGTTGAAAACAGACCTTTTCATCCTAGTTGTTACAGTTATTCCATCTTTCAATGCAATGGTATCATTAAAAGTTCAAAATTCATTGTTTAAATTTTGAACCAGCCTGGTGTGTTGAGTTCATGGCTCCTATCGTACCATTTTGGGGCATAATAGGATGCCTAGGCCTGTTTTTATTTTACTTTTTTTTCGCCCGCCCGCTCCATTATTTTTCTAGAAAAATCCGTTAACCAAGAAATTAAATTGGTGTGGCCTTAGGGCATTAAATACATTCTTATTAATAGGTGCCCTGGTGCACTGGACCTAAAAAATTAGGTGCACAGAAGAAATTTAGGGTATACAACATGAAATAAAGTAGAGCTTGAAAATGTGACCATTGTAAACAAATAATACAAAAAAATTTTTTTGACACAAAGAATATGCTGTATGCTTGGTGCACTTGTGAGTACCTTTACAAACATAACCCTATATTATAGGCTATATTCAGGTGCACCAGTGCACCCACAGTCAAAAATTAGGTGCACAGTTCTAATTTTGGATGAACTTGCACCAGGAGTATGTCAAGCCCTGCACTTGATTATCTGTAGTACTCAAATTGTAGCGGACAGATATAATATATATACAAGGCAGACAATGGCTATACATATAGAAATACTACTCACATTTATAGCTACAACCTACAAGTCAATATTTAATGAACGGTCGAAAAACCTTGTGTCTGTTGACATTTAATGACATTGTCAGTTCCTATGATTACCATACAGAGGTATTATAGTACTGAGACAGGAACTGGTAAATTTATTTATTACTTTTCATGCAAGCGGAAAACACAGAAACAAACAAACAGATACAATATCCCGCATTTCATAGAGTTAAAAACGGAAACCAAATGTTCCGTCTTCCTAATTGGGATTCGTCAGGTGTTTGACATAGTCTTTCTCGAGAATTTGATTGTCAGTGTGGGGAAAATGTCAGGAAATGATTTGATGGCCCTTTGATTTCATTTCCACTTAGCTGACATGAAACTGGCATCTATCTCCCTCCTGTAGTACTGAGTGACTTAGGGTGATAATCTATTAGTGTTGTCAAACAGGAACACCTGTTTCAGGCCAACTGGATATAACAGATGATATTACCCACAAATAAACCGGTAGCCCCATGGTGCAAAATTCGTTTTGATGAATGCATATGTAGTATGATAACAGCAGAGTAGTAAATACATATTGATCTTTTGGAGGAATTTTAAGGCTCAAAATCCTTTTTTCTGTTACATGCCTTCATGCAATAGCATATACTAGTAGTGATGTGACTAGAAAAATGAATTTCAATTGCTTAGATAGTGGGCTATGATTTATTAATGTTCAAAAGAATCATCTTGTGAAACCATGGGACAGTAACAGGAATTGTAAACTACATCTCTTCTGTTTAGTAGCTAAATTAATTGAGATGCAGGTTACTGTCTGAATATTTGTAGAGGTAGGTGTTTGTGATTGTGAAGCTGCATTTTCAGTACTGGGTATCCTTAGTTTGTTGAAAGCTGCATGAATTTGTGACGGTTGTGTACATGTGTGAATTAAGATATACATATTCCAAACTCGGAAGTAGTGTGATAGTTGTACAACCCAAACTTGCTGACAGAGGATGCCAACATTTGTAATGTGAACGTTAGCCTGGCATAGCCAGGAATTTCAGAAGATTGTTGTAGTGTTCAACCAGTTACTGTTGCTTATCTCAGTGTAAACTAGTGTATTAGTACTAGGACAACTCCTAACCAACATTACTAACTCCCAACCATGGTCTGGAGAAGGTCGAGAGGCCATGGTCAGCTATGTGTGACAGGGGCTTTACTTACTTAGTCACAGTGTGCAAGCAAGTAGATAAGGTAGTTATGACTAGAAGCCATATTTGCCAGCAAAAGAACATTTTTCACTCCCCGTCTCTGTCATCATTTGAAGAAACAGACCACCCCAAAGCTACTTTTACCCAACATCATCCGACTCCTGAATTAGATTTTCTGATTTTGAACTTCCATGAAAGAATGAATGGTCTCTTACACATATCATAAAACATCATCCTAATTCAATGTTGTTGTTTTTTTCCCTTGCAGGCCCGGATAGCATTTTTACAAGGAGAAAGGAAAGGTCAAGAGAATTTGAAGAGAGACTTGGTCCGAAGGATAAAAATGTTAGAATATGCCCTCAAACAAGAGAGGTAAGTCCATGTCAGTACCTTAAGAATGTTAACAACTTCCTGATTATAGATTGTCTTATGCGTCTGTGAAAATTTCCATTAACCAATGTCTTATGATATTCAAATGTACACAAATATGATATTGAATTATTTACCATTAGGGTATTTAGTTTTTTATTGATTATGCAAGTAATGCCCTAATTAGCATAATCAATATCCATTGATGGTCTCATCTTCTACCCAAGTTACAATTGTCCCCAGTGTGAAATTTTATGAGGCAGAAAGTGGTTGTGATGAGCAGTACCATGGAAAGCTGCCAGGAGGCCCAAAATGATGAGTCTTGCTCAACAGGGTCTATTTCTGCAAGTGCTAATGTTAGCCGGGCAGATGATAATAAAGACCTCCTCTCAGCCTCTTGGGGACTGTGACTAGATTAGAACAGGTTCCTCCGGAAGAAACGAGCTTCAACTGTGCTGCATTCTTTCACAGAGCAAAATACCATAAGTTGAAATACGGAACAGAACTGAACCAGGGAGAAATGAGACCACCGACTCCACCTTCAGGTAGGACCACCTTTTGTACTGCAGTATTGTAGAACAGAGTAATATTTAGTAATAAGGTCCTGATTTATCATAGATCAATCTATCAACTTTAGCAGTTTGACTAGAAAGGCCGCCTTTCCACTTGATGTTGACTGAAATTAGATTTGTGTGATGATCCATGGTTTTATATTTGGAATATGATGCATGAAAGTTTGATTTAAAACTACCTATAAAAAGACAACAAGACATACAAAACCTAAAGAGATTCATTCTTTATCTATGTAATTCCCATGAAATGGAGGGCCAGTTGTAGGTTTCTCAAACAAAATTCAGCTGTTACATGCTGGAAAATATGCAGTATACCCTTGTAGATGCATATTTCTCTTAGCCTTGCTCAAAATCCAACATATATATCAAAAATGAACTGTGTGGCGAATGTGACCACACACGTTAATTCGTCCCAATGATTTAATCTAAGACATCTCCCATGAGGTGTACCAAATCTACCGACAACTCCAAGAATCTGAGTCAGTTGTTTACAGTCTATATCGTATATGTGCAGTGGTCAGTAACTAGAAGTAACTATGTGATGTATTGGTTGAAACATTGGCTTGACAAAGATCATGTTTTTCCCCTGCATCAGATGAAGAGAGAGAAACAGACTCACCCTTATCCCAGAACAGTCAGGTGACATGGAGACAAGGCAGACAGCTACTCAGACAGTGAGTCCATTCACATTTATCTACTGTTGTCCTACTTACATTTTACATGCTGACAAGCTTTCAATGCTGCTGGGGGGACTTTTATCTGTACATGTATATACCTACCATACTTTTTAAGTTTGATATTAGATATTTCTATACTTCTATATAAGTTCTAACTATGACCAAGTATGTCATTTTGTGTCATTATGTCAAAGTCATGATAGATGAAAACATGACAGTTTTTTAAGAAGTTTCCATAGTTATGTCTAAGTACAAAAGTATTGTTGAGTTGTGGGTTTGTGTGTCTGTTTGCCCGGACAAGTAGGTAGATGACACATGGGTAGGGGAAGATTGACAGAATGACATAAGGTCAAACACAGGAAATGGAGCTAACACACAAAAAAAACTAAAATACATGTACATTAAATGATTCGCTCATCATTGTCTACCTGATGTCATTGTTCTTCAGGTATTTACAAGAAATAGGCTATTCAGACACCATATTAGACGTGAGATCGAATCGCGTGCGGACGTTGCTGGGCCTTACACCAAACGAATCCACCAAACAGGACGGTGAGGCTGGGGAGGTCCTCGTGAACGGAGAACAGGAGAGGGAAGCCCGCAGAGATGCCGACAGGAGGTAGGAAAATTGATTGGTTGGTTGGTTGGTTGGTTAATTGATTGATTGATTGATTGGTTGATCGATTAATTGATTGAGTGGTTGATTGATCCTCCCTTGTAAGGACAAATGGGCTGTTCTCAAGATTTTTTCTTCAGGGGTTAGAAGTATTGTTTGAGTGGATATGAGTTTGTGTGTCTGTCCTGACAGTAGGTTGACAGCACTTGGGGTGGAGAGAAGATTGACAGAATAACAGGTCAAAAGGATAGACACAGGAAATGGGATAAACTTGCAAGTTATCCAAAATACTTCCTGACAGAACAGACACAGAGTTGTAGCTCAAGTATTGAACTAGTGGACAGGAGTCATGTGAGGGAATTTTGATGTCCATGTACTTGTTCCATACCTTCCAAGATATAGTATCTTACACATTCACTTTGGAAATGAAATAAGTTTCCACCCTTGGTGAACCGTGTGTCTGTTTACCCCAGGCCAGTAGAGAAGAAGCGAGCGGGGATACCAGAGATTGACAGCGAGGCGTCGGTGTTGGCCACGTTTGACTTCCTGTCGTCAGAGGCCGTGGACGATGAAGACGAGGAGAACCTGAGCGACGGGGAGGAAGATGGCGGCGCCGCGGACGACGAGTCGGAAGAGCGCGAGCAGAGGAGGAGGAGGGAGAAGGGGAAGAAGGCGCTAGTTCAGGTCAGCTGGCTGGGAGACAGTTACACGTGTCACACTCTTCTCACCATTTACTATTGATGTAGCTATTAAGTTTTTCTTTTACCTCTTGAAAACAGATTGGAATATGTTATGGAAATTTGATTGAAAAGGGGAGTACTGTTTTGGGTGTTTTTGTATATGTGTGGGCAGAGGGAATTCCCTAACCACAGACTACAAAACATCAGACATAAACCTAGGAGGCTGTTGTCCAGACAGTGGTGGGGATAGTGGTCTTGAGGTAGAGAAATTTAGAATAATACATGAAACAAGAAAATCACAAAAACATTTTCCCAGACGTATGAAATCTTTTGTATTGCTAGTTACGAACTATCCCTGAGAGTACGTTGTTGTAACAGATGATGGAGAATGAGAGCCTGGCAGGAATGGAGGATGTGTTGGCAGACCCGGAGACAGAGGAGGCCCTGGCAGAGTTTGACTTCCTGGTATCAGAGGCAGGCGAGGGTGCAGGTGAGGCCAAGAGCACAGACGGTGCCGAGTGGGGGCTAGGTAAGGTGCTGCCCTTCTTATTCTCATCTTCATCATCATCACCACCATCGTCACCATCATCAGGATATAACCAGTCAAGTCCTCTACATTTGTTTATGCTGCATTGCCAATTTGTTGCTTTCATAAGAAAGGTTGTGTGGTCAGTGCTGTGCCTTTATTATATAGTGCATACAGGGATCACCCCAGACATCTAGTTTTAGGCTATGATGGTGCTAGGGATAAAACCACCTAAGGACTAGGTGGAAAATCTAGCATTTTGCATTTTTCAAATACAAATGAAGTCCATTTTGGGGGAGACTATTTACCTTACATCTGTGCTAGAATTGCATTCTGTAGAGACAAGAACACTATTTATTAGAAAACACTAGTTTTGAAAATCACTTTGTATGATGGTGCTAGGATTACATCCTGTCCAATATGATGGGGGGTCACTATTCCTTACCTAGGTATATTCTGTGCATGCATGCTCTTGCTTTGAAATTTTTGGCGTAGAGCTTTGTTGTGGAGCTGAGCAAAGTAGAATGTGCTTTCATTTCCTGGCAGTGCAAATAGTTTTTATGTTGTAACTGCTGCTATATTGAGCCTGAGATAGAAAATACATTCTGAACTGTTGTGTTGTCCCTTTAGACAAGTCCCCTACAACAGAAGAATGGGCCATGGACAAGAACTTACTGAACAAACTCAAGGAGGAATTCAAGAAAGAACGTAAGAGCAAGAAAGGAGCTAAGCGTAAGTTTTTTGTCTAGGTGTCAACTTTTGTTCAATCTTTTGGTATTTTATCTCACAACTGCTTTCCAACACTATGTTTGTATGTTTTTTGTGGTTGAAATAGATGTTGTGGCATGCATGGTGTAGATCATGTCGTGTATTTCTACAAATGAAGACTTTCATATTCTACACTTTTGGTTTAGATGCAAGTTTAAGTTATGGACTCAAAGATCAAACCAATAGAACGGTAGAAAATGCAGTATGTATTAGGTAAACCCACAGGCAATGTACAATCATGGAACAGTTTCCTTTGAAAAAGATGTTTCTGGACATAAAAGCTGTGTATTTTGCAGGCCCCAATCGTTCCACACTCCAAGCCATGCTGGCAAACCTGGGCGGGGATGATGACATCGTGATGCCGGCCTCTGGACCCCCACGGAGTGCAATCAACAACCCCGACCTGGGGCCTCTGGATGAACCAAGGAAAGAAGGTGTGTCTGGGAAACACTAAGGTGGCTGAGGGTTTCTGTGTCTATTTGTCCGTGGGTTGACAGTACATGGATGGAAGGAAGATTGACAAAAGCATTGTTTTGGCTGGCTGAGCTGTGGGTTTGTCTGTCTGTTAGCAACATGTGGGTGAGGGGAAGATTTACAAGCAGAACGACAGGTCAAAAGGCCAGACCCAGGATATAGGGTAAACCTGAGAGTAGGTTGACAGCACATGGGTGGGGGAAAGATTGATAGCCAGATTGACAGGTGGTCAAAAGGTCTGACACAAAATGGGTTGAACTTGAAGGTCACAAAAACCCAAAATACTTCACGGAGGCCTATAATACATATACTATTGGAGTGATTGTAACTGTATATCTCTCCTGCAGGGCCCAGAAGAGCAGGTTTTAGGGGTAGGTGGGCCGGAGGAAGAGTCACTGGAAGCAGCCCTGGGACTTGGTGACCTGGCAGGACTTACCGTAACCAATGAAGCAGAACCTCTTCAGTACGATGTAAGTTGCAGTCACCAGGAGACCATGTTTGTTTACTTCATTTTGGGAGTAGACCTCTACCCACAACTCAAATGCTGTTATATTTGTGAATTTGTTTTGTTTTTAACTACAGTTAACTGTAGAAAGTAATGAATTGATGAAATGTACAGAATGCTATAGGATGAGACCAGAATGCAGTAATTTTTGTGATGTATTGTATTTATAGGGAACCCAAATATTGTAAATTGTAACACTTTCATGGTGGTTTTAGCGGTGACCTGTCCACTGCCAATTCATGTTACCACAAACATTCCCCTCGTCTACAGAATTGTTTCCTACCCGACCTACCATAAAAATTTATGCAAACATTTCATGACTTTCAGTTGTTATATGACTGTTCCTACTATACTTGATACTATCCCTGTGTTTGGTATCATCAACAGGTAGCAGCAACAAAAGAAGCATTTAGGAAAACATGGAATCCAAAGTACACATTAAGAAGGTGAGTTAATATTTTTCATTTATACCTAATATTTGAACCCTTCTGTTGTCAGCATTATACCTTAAAAATATTTTTAATTGATGTTCTTGTTGCAAGCTAATCAAATTGAGTTGAGCTAAGAAGTAGTGGAAGGGATGGGCTCCACCTTCCAATACTGGGCCCTAGACACAGTGGATAACAACCCACGGCCGTATGGCCTCAAATGCTATGGTTCTTACTTGTTCTCTTTATGACATGATTTCTCCTCCTGTAGTCACTTTGATGCGGTCCGTGCGCTGGCATTCCATCCCATCGAGCCTGTCCTGATCACCGCATCAGAAGACCACACCCTGAAGATGTGGAACCTGCAGAAAACGGTTCCAGCCAAAAAGTGAGCCCCATCTACCTGCACTGGTTTAGGTTTAGTGATTAATTGTTGCTAAAAATGAGAAAACAGTTACTGTAACAGTTACTGATTTGACCTAAGAAAAAATGTTCTGTTTCTGTTCTGACCAACCCTAGCATTTATGTGTGTGTGGGGGAGGGGGTGACTGCTAGCAAGGGACCTTAAAATCTGACATCTGAGTGATAAAAACATTATGGAATCATTTCTTTAACCTGTTATGCTCATTTCCAATCGACTAGAGTACATTAACTAGCAGATATTTCAGGGATGGTATTGACTAGTAACTTTTTGACGGTAAATGTTTCACATAGCTGTAGTGTCTACCGCGGTCAGCCATTCTGTGTTTTGATTGGAAAGATGGACAAACCTGTTGATGCAATATATGTCTCCACAGGAGTGCCTCACTAGATGTGGAGCCAATCTACACATTCAGAGCACACTCGTGAGTACAGCGTTCCTTATATTGTGTTCCCCATAAACCAGGCTTATAACCTTTCATCATTATGTCATCGTTGAAGACCACAGATTACTTTGTCAAATTGTTCAGGTACTAAACTTCTATACTTGTACCTGAGGTTATGTTTAGGTATGCAGCGTTACTTACAACCTTTCTGCAGACGATGACAACAATAAAAGGCATAATTATCGTTATGCCAATTCATGGTCATCATACATTGTTACATACATTATAGAATACAGTCGGTGTGGTTTACATAGAAACCATTCTGACCTGGAAATGGTACTGATTAATGCTGTTCCTGATTGGTTGTGTTGCAGGGGCCCAGTGACCTGCCTGTGTGTGAGCTCCAATGGTGACCAGTGTTACAGTGGCAGCACAGACTCCACCATTAGATGTTGGAATATTCCCAGCCCCAACATCGACCCTTATGATGC